CCGATCGGCCGGCCGGCCGGCTGTTGCCGATGGGACCAGGAGCAATTCGACCGATAACGGCGAGCCCGCGGCGCGTGTTCAGCAACTTCCGATGAGACCGCAACCCACCACGAGGAGAGATTCCTTCCTGTACGGGACGTGTCATTGTAACGTACTTCGTCAACACCCACGTCGTGGTTACCGAGTCACCTCGGACGTTCCTGACTATAGCCGATCCGTAAAATTCAGCTTGACGACGAATCGCTCCCTTGCTTCTCGTTTGCCTTAAGATCTCGGTTTTTGAATTACAAATCGGCATTTTCAAAGCGAAACACATGCAGCGATTCACAGCAATATATTTATATTGAATTTAGTATTACTACGTAGATTAATGTATAAAAAAATTAGCTCATGGAGTCGGCTAGAGCGAAACGTCAGTCGAGGATTGTTTCGAAAGAGGTTGAGAAAATATCATTTTGATATGAGGGGGAGAGAGAGAGAGAAGTAGAAAAAAAGAGAGAGATAAACTTTCGCCTTGCAACATTGCAATCGCACTTACGAATCAAATTGAACTCGGACGAGACAGGTTCGAGTACCCGAAGAAGCGGAAGCGGAAGATGCTTCCGAACGATACCAAGCCGCGATATCGAGTTCGAAGTTCTCGAGTGCCTTCGTTAGGAGTAGACGCGCAAACTGGCAGGCTGAATGTCAAGGAACCTTCTAACTGTTCGCGACTACGCGGACGAAGGTCAGATAAGATTACCAGATAAGTTTCTTTGACACTCGTTCTCGAGCAGTCGCGTAGGTCTACTTTGGGATGGTTTAGCATAATTCGTGCTAGGACAAGGAGCGGCCGTGAAAATCGGGTCCGTGTAGCTCAGCAGGATTCTGTTTAATCCTGATCCTAATCCTGATCGATGCGTAGGATACGCATGCGAAAGAAAAAATATAACTTGGCTCCACCGGCTAAATCTCAGTAGCTGATCCGACCTTAAACGAAAGGCTACCTATTTCGCTGTCGCTGGTAAAAGTTAGCTGTTACAAATAAAATTCATTCAATTCCACTCCATTCACATTCATGAAAAATGTATTAGCTAACTTTTTGGCTGAAATCAAAAGGTAAAGTAGCACGTCTAGCTGAGAAAGTGATAGCTATATCTCCACAAATATCTTATTATGTATTATACATGTACAGTCAATGGCAGGAAGTTCGCAACACCTCGACGAATCTCAGAGCGCGTTCGGCATCCGATAGGAAAGTTTGCAATTTTTTGCAATTATCAGAGAACAATTCTCCGTAATCAAAAAAAGAAAATTTCAGATCAAGTGGAATTATCTAAATTTTAGAGGATTTTACTCTTATATATGGCCTCAAGAGGATCTCTCTAAAATGAAGAGGAGAATATTATAAATATATTATTCTTAAAGTCAGAGCAATTATATGTTATATTTATAATGCAAATCTTATCGATTTTAATATAAATTTTCTCTTATATACAGATTATTTAATCTTTTTTCAAGAGAATTATTATTTATTCTTACTAAATTTTATCTTCTTACTGGTTATACTAGATAATTCGAAAAAATTATTATAATGTATAACGAAAAGTAATATATATATCGATGTACTTCTGACTCCAATTCTACAATAAGTAGGCACGAATGAAATAAGATTATCATAACAAATAAATTTCCAATCAGTTTTGTTATGGACTTCATAGCTACAAAGATGCTCATCATAACTAATTGTACGAAACATAGTCAAAGAAAGAATATATTATTCAACTTCTTGCAATAGATTATAAATTATATATTTGACCAAATACGGGTAAATTATCTTCGTTATATGTTACAGCAACACACATATCTTTTTTAAAAACCGTTCCAAATATTCTGATCCATGAGCATATGGTTATATTTTCGTTTATGTCTGGAAGTAGAGCATAATTGAACAAAAGAAGCCGACATTCAAATCAACATATTCCTCTTCATATAAGAGGAAAATTAATTGCCATAAGAGGAAATCCTCTTGAAATAAGAGGAAAACAGTCAGAATTATATCTGATAAATTTTAGATGAATGGTTCACTTTAATCGCCTTATCGAAAGAGGAATCCTTTTCCTGTAAAAGGCTTAGCTTAGAATATGAGACTATGGGAAAAATCAATTTGCAAATAGAATACTTTTTTTAGGTGTGATAGGTAAGTTTGCGATTCTTCGCAATTATCAGAGAACAATTCCCCATTGGATACTGGGTACGTGGTGAAATTCATCGAAAGAAAAGTCTCCTCCACTAAACGTCATTTATTTCCGACAGCGAGTAGCTCTCTCGTTGTAGCGGCCAAGTTCAAACAGCGAATAAATTGGGCTTCATTAGCAACATTAGCTGTTCCTATTTCAAAGGAGCATCTTAGCTGCCACGGCTACATCGTGACTTTTGCTAATATTTTTACGCGTGCACCTCTCTTTCTCTTTCCCTCTCTACCCCCTCTCTATTCCTCTTTTCAAGTCTTCAAATACCGACCGCTTTTGAATTTCGGTCCGCCTGTCGCTCGCAATAAATCATAGCCGGAATCTTAAAAACATGAAGCTCATGATCGCAGACCGCGGGAGGGTCCTCCTCGCGACTGACGCCGGTTCTTCCTTCTTCGCGACGAAGGAGGGAAGGCGTGCGGCGACTTTGCCGCGCACGCACTATCCACGTTGCTTTACGGACACGCGCGCTCCAACCTAGACCTCACTCCAGCCTCGATCCACTCCACTTGTTATTGCGAATTTGAGGTTTTATCGGAGCCGGAGCGAAGGCACGCGCGCACGCGCGCGACTCGGCTCCGAGAATCATTAATCTTCGCGCCGTAAATGAAGCGTTTTCACGCTTTAACACAAAGCGATCACAGTCTCCCTTTCTCCGTCCGTAGACCGTAGGCCGCCTAGGAAATTTGTTTTTGCTCGATTGAGTCACACGCTGCTCGTCGGCTCGTCGTCGTCGTCCGAGTCCGAGAGGCTGCTCGCGTCGTCCTCCAGCCGCGCGCCGTTAGCGTTTTCTTTTTTATCTCGACCCTGCGCGCCCTGTATTTGCATTTCTATGACGGGCTCGGTATGAGTTTTCGGCACGAGTGGGTTTGACTAATAGCAATGATTGCTTTATTGACTGGATGTTCGAAAGCCGCAAAGAGCGGAGATGGATTGTAATAAAAATCGCGGCGTCTCTGCGGATCGAACGCAAGAGAGAGACATCGGATTTTGACTGAGAATCCTCCTTTAATGACGCGCATTTTGACTGAGAATCCTCCTTTAATGACGCTCATTTCGGACGTTCGCAATTCGAATTCCCTGATCTGCGAAAGCTCGTCGAAGAAACCGCGTTGATTTCTCCGTATAATTAACCTCGAAACTCGGAGATACACGTGTCAAGTCTCAGAATCACCTAACACCCGAGATCGAGGGGTCCCTCGATGAAACGAAACTCGTGGCTGCGAGCGGGACGGTTTCTTCGTCACGGAAGTGCTCTTTGTCGCAGCCGAAATTCCGTTTCACTCGATCGTCTCGATCGGTTATTCGAGACTCCGAATCGTAGAGTCACGGCGAATAATAATCGTCCCGCGGAAGATCCGTCGTATAGACGTCGAGCTCTCATCACGGAATATTTATCCCAAATTGACGATTTAACCGTCCGTCACAACGACAGGAGAGAGAGAAGGAAAGAGAGAGAGAGAGAGAGAGAGAGAGAGAGAGAGAGAGAGAGAGAGAGAGAGAGAGAGAGAGACGTCAATGGCGAAACGGCTCGTACACGCGTAATTGAACACGAAAATAATTTATATAATCACAGAGTATATTACACACACGGGCTTGCCTCTCGTAGGCGGCTTTTTCGGCATATCAGATCCGACCGTCCTATTAAGTCCTAACTCTAAAGTTAATCACTCTACCGGGATTCTATCCCTCTCCCTCCCCCTTTTCCCCCTTTTCCGTTTCGCGCTGACGCAAGACTGGATTTTCAAGCCTCACTTAAAAGCGATCGTTTATTAAGTTAACTTGATCGGGGGGAGAGAGAGAGAGCGCACGCGGGGGGAGAGTTTCACGGGCGTCATTGGAGTACTAATTATTGTGAGAAAAGTTCAGTGTGTCCGTTGCGAAACATCAAGCGGGCGTTGCGTTTGCCGCGCGCGGTGTCTATTTCCACCGCGGCGGTGCGTCTCGCTTTAATGGGAGATTAAGAAGAATTATGCGATAACGCGGCGTTTCCTTTTACAGGTACTCGACACCGGTTGTAATTAGCGTTTATTGCGAACGAGCGATCGAGCACTTTATGAATCACACAGTCGCGCAGACCGTTAGATGTCGGAGCGGCCGATATTTTGTCGGCTTTTTCAGCGCGATAACTCGACACCGGTGAAATATCGACACCCGTCCCGCGATTATCCGTCGCTAATGACGCGTATCGGTGCTTCGCCATTTACGCGATGAATTCGCCTCGCCCGAAGACGTCGAAACGAAGGACGAAGAGAGAGAGAGAGAGAGAGAGAGAGAGAGAGAGAGAGAGAGAGAGAGAAACAGAGAGAAAGTGCGTCCGCGTTCTTACGAGGCGCGTCCCACCCCCGTCGGCCGATCATTTCCCGAGTCAATTAGAAGCAGGGTTGGCAAGTGACGCGTTATACTTGTGAGGTCGTCGCCGTTGCGTTACCCCGTTTCCGCTAACAACCCCGGCAACTGCGTTACTTCCTCGTCGGTGACGGTAAGCGGCAAGAGGCGGCAATATAATTCGTAAGAAAGAAACAATCTTCACAACACTTGGTGAGGAAAGTAACGAAAATCGCGGCGTCACGCGACGAATCACTTTCTGATCCGTCTGAATGAACAACAAAGTTGAGTTAAGAAAATTGGTCTCAACGAGTAAGCCTTCGTATTAGCCCGATTAGAAGAGATCATTTTGCAAAGACGTCACTCTCTACTTCCACAGTACGACGTGTTTATGCGAGTTCCCAAGTGCGCGCTTAGAATTTCGCGCTTCTTCTGTTACAGATCGGAAGTGCAGCGTCCGCGGATGCAGCAGCCAACATGGACTCTCACGTCGGTCTCGACTACATCGTGGATAATCCTGATTATTGCGTCAAGCTCGCCTCGGGTAAGCCGCTTCGCGTTTCTCCTCCTCCGTCGGTCCTCCTCCGCCCGCGCGCGATCCTCCCTGTGTCTCTCGCGTGTTAGTTCGTGTTAATGCAACGTAATGCGCTCTCGATTGCAGCACTGGACACGGCATGCCCGTCCGTGAAGAAGCAAGTCGTGGAGTTGCTGTCGGCGCTGTGCGTCTACAGCCAGGACGGCAGGCAGAGAGCCATCGATACTCTTCACACCTACCAGGTGAGTCCTGCGTCTCATGTCGAAAGGAACGAGGATACGAGGATGCTCGTATCCTCGTTCCGTTCAATCGGCTTGTTTAACCTAAGACAAGGACGAGAACGCGTGCCGGTTATATTTGATTTTTCAAAAAGTCACGGCGTTTATTTCCGATAGAAGGCTTTACTCTTGTATATTTAATGTTTAATTGAACGCATCTATAAATTTATAAGCCCATGCACTTTTCACAGCTGACACTTATAGCTTCCATCAAGGGAAAAAGCGCGCGAATCGATCAACGATTATTCTTTCTATAACGTTTTGGAAATAGAGAGTCAACACACGAGCATTTTCGCCAAGTTTTACTTTATTACTTCCGAAATGGAAAGAACGCTGTGCAGGCTTGTGAAAAGCAGGCTTGCGTAAAGTTTATGGTGACGAGGCTAAAAGGCTAAAAGAACGTCAGTGTCAATATTGGTTTGCTCGTTTCCATTCTGGTGACTACAGCGTGAAAGATGCACCTCAGGCTCAGGTCGGCCATCGGAAGTGGATGATGATGATGATAAAATAAAGGCATTAGTTGAGGCTAATCGACGTGACTACCATTCGTGAGCTCGCTGAGGCACTAAAAGCATCGATTGGAAACGTTTACTTTCATTTGGAACAACTTGGTTACGTCAGTAAGCTCGATATTTGGGTCCCGCATGAACTAAAAGAAGTTCACCTCATAAAACGCATAGACATCTGCGACGTGAACTTCTGAAACGTGAACAATCCGACCCATTTCTGAAACGCATGATTACTGGCGATGAAAAATGGATTGCCTACAACAATGTGCAGCGAAAGCGATCGTGGAGCAAGCGCGATGAGCCAGCTCAAAACACATCCACCAGAGAAAGGTGATGCTCTCAATCTGGTGGGATTGGAAGGGTGTGATATTTTTTGAGCTCTTATCAAGGAATGTCATGATCAATTCGGACGTGTGCTTGTCAATAGCTCGACAAATTGAGCGAAGCAATAGCAGAAAAGCGGCCAGAATTGATAAATCGTAAAGGAGTGGTCTTCCATCATGACAACGCTCGACCACACACAAGTTTGATGACTCGCGAAAAATTGTTGGAGCTTGCTTGGGATGTGTTGCCTCATCCACCACGTATTCGCCAGACCTTGCACCATCAGACTACCATTTGTTTCGCTCCTTGCAAAACTCCTTGAGTGGGAAAACGCTCGCTTCAGATGGCGCTATCGAGAGGCGCTTAGTTCAGTTCTTTGCTAATACAGATAGGAAGTTTTTCGAGAATGAGATGATGAAGCTTACCGAAAGATGGCAGAGGGTCATTGGACAAAAAGGGCAATATATTACTGATTAATGTTCATTCTTTGTATAAAATAAACGGTCTTGAAAACGGTCAGACTGGAAAAACGCAATGAATGTTTGAACAACTCAATACGCTACGAACGTCGCGACGGCGCGGCGATCATTCAGATGCAAAGAGTGCTCGTGTCTGCTCATTGTAAAAGTGCTGTGTGCCGTGAGCTTAGGTAAAAGTCACGGTTCAAGGTCTCTCCCTTCGATGAACAAAAGAACGTACGACCCGTACTGTAATATACCTCCTGCGCCGTGCCGGCGCGAGTAACAGTCAATTGCCGTAATAATGTTTCCCATTGTTTAACGCGTCGCGCGATTGCGAAATGTGTGTGTCTTTTTATCGCCGGGAGAGAAGACAGTTTTCGCGTGCGCTCACAGGAAACGGAATGTTCCGATTTCTTCCGAAGCGAAGAGGAAGCGAGAGCAGAGGAGAGTGTTACTGACCGCGCTTCTCTCTTAAGAGCGATCCTCTTCGTTTCCCCGACGCCGGACGTCGCTTGCGAAGCGTCTCGAGGCTCAATAAGAGGCGCGCATTTTTATTGACGTTTGGAAATTTTAACGATCTTCTTCTTGCAGACGGATTCGCTCGTTCGACTCGTCGGCGGGTTTTCGACACTCAAGCCGAGAACCGTCGGCGCCTGCCGGCATTCCTCCTTTTTATCTGTTTTGTCGTGTTTATCTCGAATTTAAATGAGGGGTCTTTTATGCGCGCTAAAAACGCGCGTCAAATCGACAAATCGGCGAGAAGCCACCAATTCGTCGTTAATTATCGCTCGCGCTCGCGAGAACGTTGCTCGACGCGATGCGAGACGTCTTTGTCTCGCGGCTGCGCGCGCGCGCGCGGACGGAATTGGCGATATCTCGGGACGTTTTCCCGGAACAGAGCGGCGTGATAACTCATCGCGATCTCTCATGAGACCTTATATTCGGCCGCAGGAACGGAAAGGCGAGCGTTATCGATTGCGAGTCGTGGTCGACGAGCTGCAGAAAGCGACGGCCGAGGATTACCAGACCGCGCTGCTGGCATTCATAAATTGTTTGGTCATCTCGACGCCGGTGCTCAAGGACCGCATACGCATTCGCAACGAGTTCATCGGTGAGTGAAAGAAAACGCCACTCGAGCCGACTCCTCCTCGAGTCGCCCGCGCGTCTTGCTTTCGCGGACTTCCTCATTGCCCCGAGATTAACTGCTTGACGACCGTACGTTTTCTCAAACGTTCTTTCATTCGGCAGGCGGAAAGAGGGGCTGAATGTATCACTCACTCGCGAAGGCGGACGCGCGATTTGCTCGTTCCATTAGCGTCGTTTCATTCGCGTGCGCGAATAAAAATCGCCGTACTCGCGGTCGGCGCGGACGCGCGCCGACGAGACGCGCGATCTCTCTCGACGCGACCGAATGTAGCCTGACTTAATTGGCCCGGCGCGGGCGGATAAATCTCGCGGGACCTCTGGTGTTAATGGCTCGCCGACAATCAACGCGCGCGCGCCACGGCGAAAGCTCCACTGCTGCCGACTGTTTTCCTCCCTTTCACACTCGCGATTTTCAGCCGATTTCAGACGTTTCGACTTGGCCGGCTGCGCGTGGTGGGCGCAGCAACGCCTGGGGATTTCGTGCCTACGTGCTCTCTCACGCACGCAGCGTGACTCCTTCCAATGATCTGAGGATCTTGGGTCCTTTATGAAATTATTCATCTCGAAGATCTGTGGTCTCTCGCGACGCTTAAGAGGACCGAATAACACGAACGACTGATAGAAATAGATAGATCCGATACTCGACCATCCTATTGTTAGGTATACAAATGAATAATCCAAATTTTTCAGCTAAATTCAAGGTTTATTTCAAAAGAAAGTGAAACGAATTTGTCAATCGAAGTATTCGCCGTTGTTTTCTACGACTAAGCCATATTTTAGGCTACTGATAAATATATGATAGAAATAGGTTACCCGATACTCGGCCATTCTATCGTTAGGTGTATAAATGAATAATCCAAATTTTTCAGCTAAATTCAAGGTTTATTTCAAAAGAAAGTGAAACGAATTTGTCAATCAAAGTATTCGCCGTTGTTTTCTATAACTTTAAGCCATCTTTCAGGCTACTGATAAATTTCATCTCGGAAAAATGTTGTGTCTCTGAACACGATAAAGTCGTCAAGCCGTTTTTGAATGTCATCCACAGATTTGAAGTGCGTATCAGATAAGGTATGGTTGCATCGATCGGAAGAAGTGGTAATTGGTAGGAGCGATGTCTGATGAATACGCCGGATGCTGCAAGACGTCCCAGTCAAGACTCATTATCATATCTTTTGTCGTAAAAGCAATGTGTGACTTAGCGTTATCATGCAACAATTTCAAAGGACGTTCTCCTTTGCCTGTACGTTTTCGTTCTAATTCTTGATTCATACGGATTAATTGGTGTTGATAGCGGTCCGCAGTAATTGTTTTATTCGGTTTTAATAGCTCATAATAAATCACGCCCTTTATATCCCACCAAATGCAGAGCAGAATTTTTTTCCGAAGTGCTTTGCCTTTGTGGCCGATGTTGATGGTTCGCCGGGATTATCCATGACTTTCTGCGTTTCGGATTGTCACAGAGTACCCATTTTTCATCGTCCGTAACGATTTTCCGCAAGAAAGGCTTTCTACGCTGCTTATTGAGAAGAAGAGAAAGACACGCTGCCACTCGTTGATTTTTCTCGGCTTCAGTGAGTTCATGCGGGACCCATTCTCCCTCTTCCTAAATCTTTTCCATCTCGTGTAGGCATTTGAAGATAGTTTGTCGCGTTACTCATAACTGCAAGATCTGCAAGCTCTTTTTGCGTTTGTGCTGAATTCTCAGCGAGCAGTTGCTCCAAATCATTGTTGCCGCACTTCCGACGGCCTGCGCCGACCGTTCTTTGTCACTCGGACTGAAATCGCCGCTTTTAAACCGTCTAAAGCAAAATGCACACACATCGTACGATACAATACCTTCGCCGAGAAAGGAACAAATCGATTCGCATGCTCTTGCAACATTTCTTCCTCGTTGGAATTCGTAAAGAACGCAGTGTCGGACATGCACCTTATCTGTTACCGTTTTTGACTGTACTGAACTGCATAATTTTTGAGATTATTTTGAGCCTTCCGCCACTACTAAATGCAATTTTTAATAGCTATCTGTCAACACTACGTAACCGTAAAAGAGCGGAAAAATTTGATTATTTGAAACTTAATTTTTTAGCCGCTTGCAAAAGTTTTGATTATATATACATATTCATTTGTACGCTAAATAATTAATATCCCTAGCTGCGAACAAACTCAAAGTAGGCCACGCGAAAATATAAAAGTACAAAGACGCGATTCGAAACTCGCACATTTGACTCGGCTGCACCGAGTCGCCGGAGATTTCGCGCGGAATCACCGAATCGACTGCTTTCTCGTTTCAGGACTCAAGCTCCTGCCGATCTTGAACGACCTGCGGTGAGTATGCCAACCGACGACCTGGATTCGCGGCATTAACTTATTAACCACTTTAACATTGTGGAATAATAAATAATAATGAACGTGTTACGAAAGGTTATCATTGTACCCACACCTTCCTCCTTTGCACGCTACGTAACGTCGAGCGCACGCAGAAATAATTACACCGTGGATTGGTTGGTGCACTAACGAGGGAGGATACGCTGTGTGTCGCGACGACGACGGTGCTTCTGAACGTCGCGTCGTCGCCTCTGCATGCACTAATCCCAGTAATATTCTTAATGCGAATGCCTCGCGTCTCTCCGAATAACTCGGTCTCCCGCGTTTCTCAAGTGGCGACAAGAGGCGAAGAAGAAACGAGTTTGCCCAAACGATTGGAATAGCAAGACGAGCCAAATGAGTTGAGACCGTACGATCAAATCCCCGTGATCTCTCGTGTAAAACACGTGTAAAACAATTTTGCTTATTTTCGTAACAACCTGGACCCGCTTTGTCCCACCGTACGAGACTGTCGGCAGTCGTGTGTGTGTGTGTGTGTGTGTGTGTAAAAAAAGAAGTATATAACGAAATTCTCATTTCGAACTTGGGCCATCGTGTTTTTCGAGCGAAATTTTTCGCACCTCCGGGTGTTCCTCGATCGCATTAAACACGGTTATTAACGGCTATCATGCATACCGCTTATCAGTGCGTACTGTTGTGCAAACAGCCGCCAGCACCATTAGCGCGATCCGGTAATCGCGCTCTCTAGGTGCGGTGACTCAGAAACGAATTCGTAGTCGGACCTTATACGTTCAGAGGCGACTATGCCGGGCGAGTCGTCCGTCCGTTCGGCCGTGCGAGAGACAACAACGAATCCGCGAAGGATGATTCGGTAATACTGATCACCTGGCGCGGAAGCGGCTCCGAGCGATCGTCGATCTCTCGGAAAACTCGAAAACTCGAATGCGGAAAGGCGCGTCGCGAAGGATGCGTTAGAGTCCGATGAAATGTCGCGGGATCGCCGTGTCGACAAATTCGTTCGTGGGACGCACGACGATTCGTTGGCGTAGTTGCGTTCTTAGGAGAGTCCCCGAGTGCAACTTCCGCCGCCGTGACTGAGAAGAACGATGTTTGGTGATAGCGTAATAGCATGGTGAAACGATTACAGTCGGAAAATCCATTTTCCCAGTGAGTACTCTGCTGTAGAACTGCAGTCTGTACGTCACGTCTTTGTTGGAACAACGGAGGATATGAGTGGCGCCGGAAATGACTGTCACTCGTAGGAAGACAATTCTTCCTCTCGCTTAAAGCAACAATTCCTTTTCTCAGTGCGAGGCGACGATTTCACAGCGCCTCGGCGGAAAACTGCCGTGACTGGCTTCAGTGATATAAACTCGACGTAAAACTCTCACACGATGACGAGTTGTGGTAAGATGTGGATGGCGTAAGAAAAAGAGAGAGAGAGAGAGAGAAAGAGAGAGAGAGAGAGGGAGAGAGAGGAACACGTTACGTCGATATTGCAATACTGAAGTAACATGTTGCCCGTGTCGAATCTTTGAAAATCCTTTCAGAGCAGCTCGCTCTTCGAGTTACGGCGGTTTTTTCTCTCTCGAAGTTGCGAGACGCCACGAGACGAAAGAAATTCGCGCGCTCTTTGAATCCACTCGAAGATTTCACCAATGATCGAGCGAAGGACACGAGCGGAGACGAGATGACACCTTCATCGGCGCGGCACTGCGACGCCAATGGGCGAGAAATAGAATCGAGTATATCCGGGCAATTCGTCTCCCTCTCCACATTCTCAGCAACGTTCACGACCAGCGAAGAGAAGAGTGGCGGGAGAGGAGAGGAAAGGAGAGGAGAGGAGAAAGAGAAAGAGAAAGAGAGAGAGAGAGAGAGAGAGAGAGAGAGAGAGAGAGAGAGAGGCACAGAGAGAAGGAGAAAACGAGAAGGACCACGAAAGCGGGAAGGGAGAGAAAGGGAGGAAAAATAGAAAAGGGCCACGGCGCCGGCGGGGGGCAGAGGGAGCGAGGAAAGCCCGAATTAACTCCTTGCCTTGGCGATGCACCTGCGGCCGCATCTCGCGCGCCGCGCTCTGGAGCGGACGTGGTGCAACGACGCGTAGCGTCGCCAGATACGCATCCGCCGTCGCGACGCGCCGGCCGGCCGGCGTTCTCCGCGCTGTCGTCTTCGTAACTCGACTCGCGATTCCTTGACCGTCCCGATCGAGACGAAGCTCTTTCCGGTCACCGTCGTCGTCGTCGTCGTCTCTTCTTCCTTTCACCCGAAGCTTTCATCTGTGCTCTCGTCGCCGACACACCGGTGATTAATCCAGCGGTAAGGAGGAAGCGGAAGAGAGTAACGAGAGTCCCTCGTCGTCCTCATCTCGACTCGTCGAGAGCTGTGATTGGCGATCGATATCCGAAGAGCACGCGACACGAGTCTCGCGGTTGCTATGGCCGAGTGACACGGACGTTAATTAATTAACCCGAGCACGAGTATTTTCAACGCGTCGCCGATGAATCATGCCGGCGCTCCGCTTGGAGGCCGCGTCACCGTCGCCGTCGCCGCCTCAGCTTCTCTGCCCCGGAAAGAGCGACACGCTGTTCGCCCGAGACACCGAGAGGAAATAGAACGTTCCGCGCGAGGAACATCCGCGGAATGCCCGAGATATTCGCCCTGCGTTCCACCTCGGGCTTGGTTCCCGGTCGGACGGTCACTCGAGCCGAGAGCGCGCCGGACGATTTTCTTGTATTTTAAGAGAGAAAGACGCGTTTTAGGGAAGCCCGCTACGTGCGTCCCTCGTCCTTTTGCCGCCTCGCGACGCCCGGCCCGGCGGCGTCGTCGCTCCCCATGTGAGTCACGACCGTGGCCCCGTGGCGCTGCGCGTTCTCTTCGCTCGTGCTCTTCTTTATCCCTCTTCTGTTTTGCTCGTGGCGAAGATCGATGGCAGGATTGGACCGCAGCGCCGAGTATTTTGGTACGCTACTCGGTAGGACACGCTGGAAGCTTCCCAGATCGTTCGCCACGCTCGACTTATCTCTCTCTTTTCACCCCTCTCTCCCTTTTTCTCTTTCACTTCAAACATCTCACTCTCCCTCACCCTCTCTCTCTCTCTCTCTCTCTCTCTCTCCCTCTCCCTCTCTCTCTCTCTCTCTCTCTATCTATCTATTTATTTCTGAATTTTGACTCTCGATTATCCTTAATCGCGACGCAACAATGAACCACTGCGACCAAGGCCGGAGGGCTGAAAGAGAAACGTTTTCCTCTTCGACGTCGTCCGTAATTAATGATCCAAGTTTCAACGCACTCCGCGTATTCTGATCTACTTATTGGATCCGGGAATCGATGCCGAGAAAAGCGAGACTACGCGCTGTGCTACGGATAGTCCGCGGACTATTTCCGTTCGCTTTGACGAGGCAGAATGCAAAGGCCCGTAGAATGCGGAGTGTTCGGGCTATTCGAGCGCTCCGCGACTCGTAAGATGCGCGTTTGGACCTCATCAAGGGATGCTGAGGTCGTTTCATGCGACAGCTGTTTCTTCGCGAGCGCGCGGGTTCTCGCCGGCCGCACAGTCGCCGTTGGAGAAAAATCTCACGGAAATCGCTCACGCGCACAATTCGAGCGCGAGCCTCGTCATTTTCTCTTTCGCCATTCTCTCCTCTCTTTCTGCCAGGCAGGTCTCTCGCGCGCCTTTCCTCGCGCGTGTCTCGTTCTAGCGGAAGAGCCGAATTTTCGAAGAGGGCTCGCGCGGGCGCGTCGCGCGCCCGCCCGAAATAGAGTCGGACAACGACGTGTTAAAGCCTTGAAATATCCTCGGATTAAAAAAGCGTGCGATTGTTCTTTGCAGGAAGTGCCACGCGCCGGACGTGCGGGTGCAGCTGGGCGCCTTCGACGATCAACGGGAGACCGACGAGGAGCTCACTAATCACGGCCCACCCGGGATCGATCTCTCCTCTCACGTGGACGTCTTCTACGCCATCCTCGGTCAAGTAAGTGACCTTGCGCTTTCGTCCCGTGTCCCACTCATTTTCTCCTTGCCGCGACGCAGCGCTTCCGACAGGTCTTTCCGACGACAGGACTTTCCTCGTGTCTCGGCGATCTTCGTTGCGCAAGTAAAAGTCTCGTTGGCAAACTTGGCGAACTTGGCGCATTCTCGTTATTAAGAAACTCGGTGGAATTCATACTGCAGAGAAAAGAATTAAGAAGCAACGCGAATCCTGTTAATTTCAATTCAGGGGAGAAATTGTTTTGCAATCACCAGAGCCGCGGTTCAGTCGTTCAGTTGCAATCCAGAAACCTCGCCTCCGTCTTCGGCAAGTATCTTCGCGACGGCTGCCGTCTGCGGGTTCGCCTATAACCGTCATTAACGAGAACTCGTCTCCTTCGCGAGTGAATTCGAGACGCGAGCGAGTGCATCGCGTCCCTCACTCGTTAAACCGCCAGTGTCAACCGGTCAATCTTCATCGGTGCTATTCTAAGAGCCGCTCCAGACAGGCATGAACAAAGAGCGTCGGTCTATGAGACGCGTGTGACGAAACGCAGCGTACTCTCAGGTTGCAGACACTCCGCAGGAGATACCGTTCCTGAGTGTCCTGCAGCATCTGCTGCGGCTCGACCCGAAAGACGCCGCCAGCGATCTGGCATGGGACACCGCGGAGACTCTGGTGCACCGAGCCACGTTGCTGGAGAGTCGCGAGGACGCGACCAAGCTGCTGAGATCGCCTAGCCTCCAGGTGAGTCTCTGGCACCCTCACTCGTGCTCGCGATTGACGATTTTTCCTCGTCATCGAGAGAGAGAGAGAGAGAGAGAGAGAGAGAGAGATTGTCATTCATCACGACTTTTCAGTTCTTCAACGTAACGTATCCTCACGGCTGAAGCTTGATTTAAAATTCCGTTAAAGTCCACTCGAGGTCGATCGAAGAGAAGAAGTCGCTTTTCTGGCTGAAGCTTCGCTCTCGGACCGCCGGAAATTACTCGAACACTCTTCCGGCGAGGGTGAATCGCCAAGTGTTGATGAAGAGTAGCGTGGTACAAACAACGGACGCGCGATAGTTCGTATCTAGTACGGCCGTTCCTCGGTATTCTTCGCGATTCTTTCTTCCTCCGAGGTGAATGTCGCGCGTGTCGCCGCCGCGAATGAGGACCGCGGTGGGAGGCGATCAGAGCGCGAATCGAAAGTCCGTCGCGTTGGTCTCTTCGTGAAATACTATCGTCGCGATTCCTTACGCAACGTTCCGCGCGCGCGCTAAACGCTTCTAGGAATGATCATTGTGACACGGTGAAGGTGGGTCGAAACGATCACTTACGCGACGTGTCTTCCCCCCACGTGAGCTGATGATGAATTTATCCGCGCCGCGCGGCCGCTGTGTCTTTTTTCCACCCGTCTTTTCGGGCTTTCGCCGATTGTACAATCACGAAGTGGGCATCGCGGAGGAGACCTCGATCGCGCGGCCGCCGTTACATCAGATCCCGATCGCCGAAATTTCTCGACTACTCCGCGAGTACTCCGCGTTGGGAGGGAGTGCAAGAGGGGGAGGGGCGAGAGGGACGACCGTCAATGTCAACCGCGCTAACGCGAACTAATGTAATACTCACACCCTGCCCTCTCGTCCCGTCCCGTCCCGTCCCGCCGTGCCGCGCTGGTGGGTACTTTTACTTTCTGCCGTACTTGACCGAAAGACGCGAGTCCATAAAAGAAGAAACCCGTACCACGCTTCATGTCGATGAATCACGAAGCGCACATACATACTCGCGGAGACTTAGCCGTCCCTTCCATAAACCGCGCAACGAGATATATGATCTTACGCCGCGTCGTCCGGATAAAATGAGACTTATCTTCAGATTTAAATTGAAGCGCATTTGGTAAGGTGGGAATTGCTCGCTCATGTACTCCCATTGCTCTCTCTCTCTCTCTCTCTCTCTCTCTCTCTCTCTCTCTCTCTCTCTCTTTCTCTATCTCTCTTTCTCTCTCTCTCCTTCTCTCTCTCTCTCTCTCTTTCTCTCTGAGTTGAAGTCGCGGTAAGGTTTTCCTCATTATCAACTACTTATCTTGAAAATGCAACACCCAAGAAAAAGTAACAGGATTCCCCAAGAGGAATATGGTTATTTTTTCGTTCATGTCATGGAGATAGGTCATAACTAAAATAAAAGAAACCGACATTTAAATCAACATATTCCTTCTCATATAAGAGGAAAATTAATTGATATAAGAGGAAATCCTCTTGAAATAAGAGGAAAACAGTTAGAATAATATCTAATAAATTTTAGACGATTGATTCACTTTAATCGCTTTATGGAAAGAGGAATCCTCTTTTTATAAAAGGCTTCGCTTAAAATATGAGACTATGGGAAAAATCACTTTACAAATAGAATACTTTTTTTGGGTGAAAAGTTCAATTTTTCTTCATTTTCCCTTGTTCTATATTGACTCGTAGAAATATGGCTACAGAATTATGAATTTCTCGGGAAATTGGACTCGTGCCATTTTCGAAATAAACGACTCGTGTAATCAGGGCGGAATAATTAATTAATGAGTCATCGTCGACGCGTGTCAAAATATCGGAGACTCGAAATTTTCTCTGAGGAGAAATCGACTCCAATCTCATTCAATGCGCGTTTCTGCTTTGTAGTCTATAAAATTATCGTTATTAGCAATACCGCCGCACGGAAAATGCGAATGGCATGAAAAAATCAGCATATGAAATCAGCCACGTGCGTTTTTAACTCCCAGACGAATCTATGCTGTCACTGTCGCGGCGCCGACCAGACGTGCGGAACGTCGCGGAAAGCGTCGCTGCCAGCGAACAATCCGACGCCACCCCAGCCGCCGCCGCCGCCACCCCCGGTCCCGGTGGCACTGACCCCGCCGGCACCGTCGAGCGGCGGCTTTGTCCTACCACCACCGCCTCCGCCGCCGCTCTTCGTCAACGTCGCCGCCTCTGATGCCGCAATGGAGCCTCCGATGCCGCCACCCCTGCGCGTGCCCCCTGTCGCACGCGCACCCACCCCCGAGCCTCCCAACAATCATGCCAGGCTGCTACCGCAACAGGAGATTCCCACCCCCAAGACGAAGATGAAGACCATCAACTGGAACAAGATACCGAATCACAAGGTGCTGAAAATGAAGAAAATCCAAATCGCTCCTACAGACAAGAGCGTCGCGATCGCCTTTGTTAAAAAAAAAAGAATTCTCAGTCAAAAGAATTAATAAATTATGTATTTTACGTCGATTTTTACATTTTACGCAACCATTAATTTTTGTCGAGTGCAACTTTATCGATGATAACAGTTGGAAATATATCGAGAAGAGTGTTGAAACTTGCGATCGTTAAATCGCGCCGCAGGTGATCGGCAAACGGAACATCTGGTCCTTGGTGGCGAACGAACATCAGAATTCTCCGATGGCAGACTTGGACTGGGCCGAAATGGAGGGCCTGTTCTGCCAGCAGGCTCCGCCGATGGTGCCACCGGCGACCTACGCCTCCTCGTGCGGCACCGGCGTCGACGCGGAGCGACGTCGTCGAGAACCGACGGAGGTATCTTCTCGTTGTTATTCCGCGTTACCTCTTTTCTGCCAGTTATTCAGTTGCTTCTTTCGGAAATGGTGCAAACCTAGTTCTTCTTGTATAATCGCATCCCGTCTCTTCCAGATCGCGTTACTCGATGGGAAAAGAAGCCTGAACGTGAACATCTTCCTGAAGCAATTCCGAAGGTGCGACTAGCCCGACGAAGTCGCCGGATTACAGCCTCCACTCACGCGTCTCTCGTATTTCAGTTCAAACGAGGACATAATCCAACTGATCAAAGACGGCGGCCACGACGACATCGGCGCGGAGAAGCTACGCGGCCTCTTGAAGATCCTGCCGGAGGTGGACGAGCTCGAGATGCTCAAGAGCTTCGACGGCGACAGGTCGAAGCTCGGGAACGCCGAGAAGTTCTTTCTGCAGCTCATTCAGGTGCCCAAGTGAGTATGTCAATGCATCGGTCAAGCGGCGACTCGCCGACCCGCCGGACGAGATCTTGCGGAGCGAGCTAATCGCGATCGACGCGCAGTTACAAGCTGCGCATCGAGTGCATGTTGTTGAAGGAGGAGTTCGCCGCGAACATGAGCTACTTGGAGCCGAGCATCAACTCGATGATCCTCGCCGGCGAGGACCTCATGACGAACAAGCCTCTGCAGGAGGTGCTGTACATGGTCTTGGTCGCCGGGAACTTTCTCAATTCTGTACGTAAATCAATATGGACTCTATATAATGCGTTCGTACCTGTTACCTGTTTTCTTTCCTTTTACTCTAGCTTTCTGTCAAAGATCTATTTAATTGGTTACACGCGATTATTCGGGGGAGATTGCATTGAAAGCCGCCGTTCACGTGTAAATAGCTCTAGCTGCGTATGCTGTGGGCAGTGACAGATATCTTTTGTGTCATTTTGAAGTGTGAACATTTCACACATTGTGAACAAATACTTTGACTAATGTATACACATATTTTATTATTGAAATAAATGCTCAAAAATAAATGCACAAAAAACAGCGGCTTTCAATGCAACCTCCTAATAGTTGTGTTTCAAGCACGAATTTGTGAGCGCGAATTAATAAACACGGCAATATCGTCGTCGCCGAGCTGCACGGCAGCGTTAACGTATTAATTTAGATGGCCAATTCTGACGATCGATCGATTCGAGCACTCGAGAGTCAATCGATGCTCATACTTTTTTTTTTAGGGCGGCTACGCTGGCAATGCGGCGGGCGTGAAGCTCTCCTCGTTGCAGAAGCTCACTGAGATCCGCGCAAACAAGCCGGGGATGAACTTGATACATTACGTGGCATTGGTAAAATATCGCGCGATTAATTTTTTTTGTTATATATTATATAGTTAAAGCATGTATAAATATAAGCCATAAATATATAATTATATGGAAAATATGAAAATTATACGGACGATGTTCGTGTATTTTAGCAAGCCGAGAGAAAGCGGAAGGACTTGTTGAATTTTGCGAAAGATATGACCGCCTTGGAAGCGGCGACAAAGTAAGAATTGTTTGTATTATCGCCATTATTATTACGAAACACCATTACCTTCGTACACTAATCAATTTCTACCTGATTTCAGAACGACGATCGAACAATTAAACAACGAATTCAACAGCCTGGACACGAAAATCAAGAAGATCAAGAGTCAGATCCAGCTCTCTTCGACCGAAAGCGACATACAGGAACAGATGGCACAGTTTCTTCAGGTAATGAACGTCAGATATAGCAGAAATAAAAACTAACGAATGACGTAACGTGAAGTAACGTAATAAAATAAAGATATTCTTTTCTGATTGTAAAAATTTATTCTCAATCATATACAATTTTTCTTATTTCGTTTTATAATACACAATATATCCTTTCACGGGTCATTATTACAAAAGTAGAAAGTCGGAATTGCAATAAATTTTTATTGAAAATCCACAGATGGCCGAGCAAGAAATGGCGCAGTTGAAGAGAGATATGGAGGAGCTCGAGGGAGTGAGACGATCGCTCGCAGAGTTCTTCTGCGAGGACACGAATGCGTTCAAAATTGAGGAGTGTTTCAAAGTGTTCCATCAATTTTGCCAAAAGTTCAACCAGGCTGTCGCGGAGAACGAGAGGCGGCGCATCCAGGAGGAGCAGGTCCTGGCGCGTCGCAAGCAGCGCGACGAGTTGCTAGCGAGAAAACGACCGCGTGAGTCCCTCGCTGGAATATTGCACGTGACAATTACTGATAATTTCTGAATTTTATTAAAACGACATGTCTCTTGCTTTCTCGCGTTTGTTGTTCTGTCTCGATAGACGTGTTAAATTTATGCTCGTTGAATGCGCAGTGAACAATCAAGCAGAGACACCGGGCTCGGAGTCGGAATGCAACCTGATGGACTATGGACTTTTCGATCTCCATACCGGTTTACCTCAAAGAACTTACAGTCGTGGTGAAGCCAAGGTAAATTTTATTTTCTCTCTCTCTCTCTCTCTCTCTCTTTATATATATATATATATATACACATATATGTATGTATGTATACAATGGATTGTTCGGATAGTAATTTCGGTTTTTTGCATGAAAATGAAAGACGATATTTTTAATAGAAAGAAAACTTTACTATCCAAAGAATTTTGCAATGACCGAAACAAGTGATAATCGGATGGTACCAGATCAGGTGAATATGATGGATGCGGTAGTAAATTCTATCCAAGCGCTAACAGCTGCTGGCGAGACATTAAACTTGTGTGAGGTCTGGCGTTATCATAATGAGACACAACACCTTTCCTGTTTGTCAATTCTGATCTCCTCTGCGTGATAGAATAATTCAGTTTGTCCAATTGATGACAATACACATTCGAATCAATCATTTGGTTGTTTGGTAGCAGTTCAAAAAAACGATTCCAATCCCACCAAACAGAGAGCATCACCTTCTTTTGATGGATATCAGCTTCCGATGTGCTTTGAGCCGGTTCATCTCACGTCTGCCCCATAATCTTTTACGTTTAATATTGTTGAACATTATCCATTTTTCATCTCTACTTATAAGTCGCTTTAGAAATGGATCGTTTTCCTCACGTTTCAATAGCAAATCGCAGATGGTAATGCGACGAATCAGATCTCTTTCTTTAAGAACGTGTGAAACCCAAATATTGAGCTTTGAAACGAAACCAAGTTGTTTCAAATGCTCATGCACGGTCGAATTTGATAAATTTAATCTCTCGTGTTAAACGACGATTTGCCTTCACCAATGCCTTTATTTGGTCTTCATCAGCTTCAACTAGCCTTCCAGAACGTAGTGCATCTTTCAGGTCGAAATTCCTAGAACGAAATTTCGAAAACCAATTCTGTCACTGGCGTTTAGTCAACACATCCTCTTTATACGCAGCACACAATTTTTTTCTTGCTTGCGCTGCATTTTTGCCTTTACGGTTATAAAAAAGCAAAATGTGACGAAAATGCTCACGTTGGTTTTCTTTCCATTTTTTATGCGACGCCAAACAAACACAACTTGACAGATTCCAAAACAACTTTTTTTCAAATAAAGCTTGAAATGTGCGTTATAAAAATGTAAAATGATTTTCTGGTTCAGAATGAAATTAACTGCTTAAAAAGGCAACTAACACTATCTATTTGAAAAAAAAACCGAAATTACTTTCCAAACCATCCGATACATATATAAAATTTCGATATATACCTATTGTTAACAGCCAACTATCATATTAGTTATTAATTTGAATCCCGATATGTGAACAGGATCCATCAGAACCAATTTTAGTTTTCCTGAACTCTTTGAGCAGTTCTACTCACATTTACAAATCGATATTCTACGTGTATGTGTGATCTTTATTCTTTCCAAAAATTAATTATGATAATATATCCAGTGTCGGAAAGGATATTAATTATATTATTCATATGGCTTAGGAGAGAATTTTAGTTACAGTATTGAGCTGGAAAAAAATATCGGATAACATCAGAGAGACAAAGTCCTAATAAATATCTCGACATTGCTTGCAGATGAAACGATTACAGAATGGCGGTGTCACGTCGGACGAGGACGTTTCTGTCACGGGGTCGCCGAGCATCCGACGTCGTTTAGGATCCTGCTCCGGTGGTCCCGATCACCAATCTACCAAAGAAGACACATATTCGCCCGGTATCGTATCACGGTTTCCGCTGTAAGAAGCGAATCGAACGTTTAAGCTCCACGATTATCGTTGGTTTTATTCGACAGATATCACGCCTAACGGCACACTTCGCCGACGCAGGAGCAGGATACCCTGCGAGGACGATGACGGAAACCTGATGGACTTCTTGCGCACCTCCGGCCAGGATAACACGCGGGAGAGAAAGTCGTGGGGTAGTTTAGGTATTTCCATTTCAAGTGAATTTAACTTGGACGAATAATTACTATTAATCAACTTCAACGTTATCTCTCGGATATTATCACAGATCGATCGTGGGCGCGAAGAGCTCGAGGACAGTCACGAAGAGGGGATCTTTTGAACGCCGATTTTTCGGGCGACCGGGAACGACCGAGCTCGCCGTCTCCTCTCGCGGAGAGCAAGCCATTCCTGCAGGAGGAGGAAGCCAAGCCGACTGGGTAGGTCGAGGTTAATGTAACTTTTACGTTGAAGAATGACGCGATCGAATCGACTGATTCATGTTTCGAAAACCAGGAAAGCGTGGCGACAAAAGATCGAGGCGTGGCTGTCGGAGAACGAGAAAGAGGATCGCGCGGGCGAGCAGCTTCAGAGAAAAGCGAAGCAGCTGCACCAGGCGAACCGACGGTCCTTCGAAGACTCGGGTGAGAGAATTTATCTTCAGAACGAATTTATCTTCAGATGAACGACGAGACTGTAACACGAGACGTTTCGATTGCAGAAAGCGAAGGCAAAAGCTGCGCGACGAACACTTTGGCGGAAGATCAATCCATGCACGAAGGGTTCTCCGAAGTTTACGACTGGCGGCCGTCCGTCGAGAAGACTGACGTCATGCGCACGATGGAAGCCATTGAAGGTGCGTGTTTTGTTTCTTATCGCGCAAATTGTCCGACATCTTAGTACCTTATCTTTTATCTGAGTTACATATTTGGATTTGCCGTTGTTAACTATTAAACACGCACTTGATTTTACTCCTGGATCTTTTATTATATTTTTCAGTATCCATTATTTCAGTTTATTGTCGATTCATTTTATTCCTCTGATGCATTTTTAAGTCTAATAAAGAAAGATTCGTCAACTCTTTACTGGCAAGATTACAGTCGTTCCGAGAATGAGAAGTTTGAAGCGTCAAACATTTTATGGTCATTGAACTAACTGAGCTCTTTCTCCTTTCCAGAAGCCCAACCGCTTTCGTCCCAGGACAAGTCACCCTGGCGAAAGTCGAGCTTAAACGTACCAAATAGTATGGAAGAGACTGATCCACGTTATTCCCGTAGACTTAGGTCCAGACTCAGCACAGAAAACACTCTCGGCCCGAGTACACTGCAGGTACATATGCGAATTGGAGAGACGATGTTCAGTCTCGTCGTGTCACGAGATGCGAGACATTGTACTCACACGTTCAGCTGTTTAACCCTTCGCACTCGACGAATATTTCCATCAACTCGATAATTATATATATATATATATATATATAATTTTTAAATTCCTACAGAAACTACAAAAAAGGATTTTTATTTCGTTTAATGTTGTCGCCGCATTTTACTGTTTTTTTTATTGCTCCCCGTCTTTAAATATTTTGTTCATGCCAGCGCAGCTGACATTCCAAGTTGCTGGAGAGAAACGTTCATGCCAGCTGTGCTGGCATTCCGAGTGCATAGGGTTAAATCTGCGAAAATTTTGCGACAATGTTCCAATTGTCGTCACGACGTGCTCGCAGGCTATCAGAGAGGAGGATAGGAAGAAGAACAAGATCACCGATACGATTAGCTCAGACATGCAGGACGAACTGACGATTTACCTCTGGCAACCTTACACTGGGTCGCAAGCACCGGCGACGCGGCGCTTCTCGAAGCTCAGCAAGAAGACTACCGACGAGGAGAGAATCAGCGATAAGATCGAGATCGATTCGGACAACATCGAGACGCCGCCGGCGACCAGACGGTTGTTCAGTCCGCCGAAGGAGGTAAAGCCCGTGGACAAGGAGCCCTGTAAGCGGGAACGTTGCAGCAGTTCCCTCCAGAGCCGAGAAACAAAGACTGCGATATTGAAGCCCGTCGGTCCCAGCACGGATCTCGGTACCGGTGAGCGAAAGCGAAATCTGCAACGCAGAATTGTGATCAGTTTCTCAGAGACTAAACTATGGGTGAAAATTGCTTGAAATTATCCCGAATAATTTGTCTTAAATTTCTTCGCCCTTTACTGATGTTCATTCACCGACTCGTCATTTATCTATTTAGAAAAATGTAAATTTACAAGGCAACTTCAGATTTCCGCGAATGACTGGAAGACTAGAAAATCATAAGAATCACGATATCAAAATAAATCAATATATGAACAATTTATTATCGACAAAAAATATATATTTTTTCCCCTTTTAGGCAACTTCGACAGGTACTCAGCGACGCGGCGAACCCGCAGGTACAAGAAGACCCAAGACCCCGGGGACAAGGACAAGTCAGACGCGTCCAGCCCCGAGCTGGTGTACGACGAGAAACCGGCGCAACGACCCAGCACTCTGGCTCTCAACGACTCCGAGGCGAACAAAACAAGCAACGCCAAAGAAGAAGAGGAGGCGGAGCAGGAAGAAGAGGAGGACGTCATGCTGCGCGTCTGGCAAGACAAACTGAAGCGACGCGGCGACGCGTCGTCGACGACGACGACGACGACGACGACAGCGTGCGACATCGACGCTGCGCTGGCGGAGATCGCGCGCTCCGGCGAGGATCTTCAGCGTCTGTCGCGCTCGGCCACCGGCCACAGAAACTCGCGGCTGCCGGTCAGCCAGCCGCCGCCACCGGTAGTGGCGGTGACCAACACCGTGCTGAGTCCAGTGATGCAGGAGTCGCGGCCCCGCGAGTCAGTCACGGTGCTCGCCGAGCGAGCGGTGACGAGTCGCGAGCGTCATCGCAGCATGATCGACCCGAGTCAAGTGAAGGAGGCGGTTCGTCTGACCAGCAGCCCACCCGTCGTCCAGGTGAACCAGCAACCGGACCCCAGGACCTTCCAAAGAAACGGAAACTCTCCGCACGATCGCAAGCACGAGCAGGATCAGACGCGAGCGACAACGCGCGACAACGCGCCGGTCGGAATTGCGGACCAAGAGGAGAGCGCTAACTTGTCGAGTAGTCTGAACAGCGGCGACCTTGATCCTGAGAAGAATATGATCGTTCTCCAGGCGGACAAGGACGATTCTCGCGATCGGTAGGTACTGCAGGGAGAAAGACCAGTCGCGGCAGCTCGAGTCGAGTCAGACGAGAAGTCTGTTTTCGTATAGCGAACAAAATCCCTTGACTCTTCGAGTTTTGTTATTACGATTCGTTGTAAGCGGCTTGGAAATTGATCGTGGACTCGAGTTTGATGCGACTTGACCGAGTCCCCACGTGCAGATTTACGTTAGCCGATTTGATTCCTTTTCAGCGTGCTCGTGACGCGACAGAACTCCGTGTTCCGCGGCTCCAGGTACATCCCCGACATAAGCGTCACGTCCTCACTACCGTCATGCGGCAAGGGCAGGGAGCAGGAGCTGAATGACGAAGGCTTCGAGGAGACTCAGAGCCTCGTGTCAGAGACCCTGAGCCAGGAGACGTCCTCCGGCAACTACGAGACCGACACGCACGACTCGACGCGCTGCTCGCCGGCCGAATTGGGTTACGGCGGTGAGAAACGTCGCCATCGCGACGTCGACGACGACCTGGACGCTCGGCGGCGCTCGTCCGTCGACAAGCTGCCGAAGCCGCGGCCGGACAAGGTGTACGACAAGAGGGAGAGCGCGCCGCGCGGAAGGAACGTCCCGGAAAAGTCCAGTTTCCTGCCGAAACGCACGACAACCGGTGCGAAGCGCGAGACCACGTTGAGGAAGACCGAGTCCCTGAAGAGGACTGTGAACACCGCCCCGAGCAAGCCGACGTCCCGGAACGAGGTGGAGCGCTCGGGATCACGCAGCAGCCTGCGCAGCTCGCGAAGCTCCTTGAACAGCGCGACGTCCGTCAACACGGTGCGCAACCTGGCGCCCAGCCAGCACGCGCACCTGCGCAACTACACCTCGGCAATCCGCGCGCTCACCAACGACCTGAGGAAGAGCCCGTCGAGCAGCCCGTTGCCGCCGAAGGACGCGGCCGACAAGAGGCGACCGGGTCAGCCGCGCACCGGGGTCAGCAGGATACCCGCCAGCAGGAGTAGCAGCAGCGGCAGCAGTGTCGGCCCGGCGGTGAAGAGTATGCGGAAGACGCCGACGGTGAGCGTGTGCTTCTCTCCTCGTGATAACTTCCAGTTCTCGCTATAACAGCAGAATTCACATGCGACTTGAGGCTGAATTTGTCGGTCCGATCAATGCAATAGATCCACGGAAGAAGACGTCGCGTAATCTTTCGTAATTATCTCAATGATTGCGATATTTCATGTAATAATGGGATTGACATTAAAATTAATACGCGATTTAATGTTAGTCTCATTAATATTAAATTTCTAGGAAACGATAGGAAATTACTGCGACGTAGGATTGAATCACGTATTAGAAAAATGTCCAGCGAAATCGGCGTTCGCCGAGGCACGGTTTTCGCACAAATTGTTTCCTGCCGAACTCGAGAGAATGATTCCTCCGGGAAATTTGATTCGTGAATTTTCGGGATTTTATTCAAGGTCGCTCATGAGAGACGCTGTACATTTTGTCGCACAGGTGACGCCCGACATACCAAAAGTCACGAAGGGCCGACCGATCGCCTCGCGCAGCAGCAGCAGCGGCAGCAGCGTCGGTCAGCAATCCATCGCGGGCGGCCGGCAGGTCGGTGACAAGACGGCCGCCACGAAGAGCAGGCTGGTGCAACCGCGAGCTGGCAGCAAGAGTCACAGCTTCATGCGACCTACCGCCGCCAGCGTCAACAAGGGCTCCATACCGAACCTGCCCAAGAGCATGAAAGCTATGGTCAAGTGATATCTCTTCTCGATCAGAGGAGAAGAGTCGTCATTTCACCGCAATGCTATCGCAACTCGTCCTCGAGAGCCGATCCGAGTCGATCCGGTTTAACAAGTAACGAGTATCGCAACGCGAGCTCGCAGAATTAAAGAGTCACTCTTGACGGTCACAGCTGAGATATTAAAACCGTAAGAGATATCGCGCTAAAGAGTTTGCGTTATCGCGGAGGATGATGTAGCCGATTAGCGAGATTAGGTAACGAATTATCAATATTTTCTTCGCTTACTACGCAGTACGTCTCTCGTAGTGTAGAGGGACAAAATAAGTAGAGACTATACTTCTTCTCTGATACGCGCGCTCTACCGCCACATACATACACCCACACAAACCCGCATGGAGCGCATACGCACCAAACAATGCAAATCCTCAGACCAGGGGAAAGTAATAATCAAATAATCAAATCTATTCGCAGCTTTACGCGACAACTACCAAGTTGTGACCAAGGAAACCTGAAGGAATGCCCCCGATCTTTTATGTTTCGCGCCGACCAAATTCCGGGAGTAGCTTCCTTTCGATGTTTTAGAGCATACATATATATATTTAAAATATACTGTAACACACACACATACATATTTGACTAATGTGCATATCGATATATATATTATGTAATTCTTACCGTTAACACGAAGATAATTGTATCGTAGGATATACATTCGACGCGCGCGCGCGCGCGCAATAAATTAACAAGTCACGATAATACGAACGGTATGGGAACGACGGAATCGACAGCGAAGCCTCTCCGAGTCGAAAGTCGAGTCCTACATTAACCTTGCGAAAATGCTGTCAGGCTCGAAGATTCAAAATTGGAGAACCTCGAGGTATAAACATTGCAAATTATTCATCGCCATTTTATCGAGGCAGGCAGAAACACTTTTATCCAAGAATTATTTAATATCCAATTGTCTCAATAGTCTACCTGTGCATTTGACTTTTTCCTTAGTTCCGCATTTCAATGAACAATTTCAATAAAGTATCAATTATGTAACTCACTCGACATTGCAGATAGAGTATGTGCGACGAGCAAATATTAAATAATCTGACGTTGATTAATAGGTAAACGGATAAATATATAAAACAACATACTTTTTTCTTTCACATAATCTCTTTATTATTATTTTCATTTCTCGGCATCGGGGAAATTTCAAAGTGGGACTTGTAGATTTTACAAAAAAGAAAAAAAGAGAGAAGGAAGTTAAGAAGGGAGAGAACAGAAGGAAGAAAAAGAAAGAGATTCTCGTCGAATAATTACAAGCACACGAGTGCGATTCGCATTGCATACTTCCTCATACTTTATTCACTATATTCAACAAGAAATATCTACATACGCTTTATGTACAGGGATGTTACATTAAAACGATCCGTTTTCAAAATGCATGAAGAACCGCGCTCCGACTGGGAGATGTTTCATGAATGAGATCACTCGCCGGGCTACGAATTCGACTCCGGCGCATTCTAAGTAGCATTATTACCCGAGTGGGAGGCAACATCATCCCTCGATAGTCAAGATTTAGCGGTTACTTTGCGTATAAATCTTTTTATCTTCTTCTCATACAGTAACGTAAGTATAACGTTTAACGCCACACAGCTAGTCAATCGATGCGCCGTCGACGGATCGGCAACATCGGGATCGTCTCACTCTCGCCGTGAACGGACAATTAAGTTCTGCAGCTTGTGGAAATAAATAATTATAAATTAGAATTGATCTCTCGCGCTGCTCTCAGTGGATTGTAATCTCAGTGGAATACCGGCTACCGCAAATGAATGTTCCATTTTTAAACGCGGGTTAACTCAGTCGTCCCAGTTACTGATTTCTACAGTTAATAGGGGACACGTCTCTCTAACATTCGATAAGGGACACTCGCGACAAATTATCAGATAAATCAATATGGCTCTGTGTAAGTGCTTTATATAACGATCGCGATCAATATTCTTCATGTATACGAATATTTTAACTATCGTATTTAAATACGATCGTCGCGCTGCATTTCACTTTCTTTTCTCCTTTCTTTAATCGCACACCCATTCGACCTTCTCTCGTGCTATCTTTTGTACTTTTACATTAATATTATAGTTATCGTAAATAAAACTTAGTAAGGCTACTAAGATACCCGCGGGCTCGTTCGCGTTAAAAATTAAATACTGCCGGCCTGTTTTCCGCGCAATCTCGACTGGTCGACGATCGACGCGAGGCGGCTTTAATTTCGCAGCGCATGAATAAAAAAGAGGAAGAAGAAGAAAAGAAAAACAGAAAATATAAGGAAGAATTGACGATAGTGAGATGCGTGGCACGTGTGATACAGGGCATTGCAAGTAATGTGCGTCAATGTCTTAAAAGGTAAGGGAACCCAATCACTTATAGGCTTACAACTAAATATAAATATAATAACATTAGCAATTAATGACGAATACCCTCGATGGACAGGTGGATTATGCACTGTCACGAGAAACCAAAATCCCGAAATTCGGAAACTAAGACAATTTTCCGAGAAGGTCCACAACACCGAAATCCGAATGCCGAGGCAGCACATCAAAACACAATTTTCCCAAAACATACGATTGTTTCTCCGGAGAACTAATATTCCGGAAACCATATATGTAGATATTTCAATATCTACCCGCTTGAGAATATTTTCGTTCGAATACTTCAATGTATTCGGCTACATAGCGATACAATTTCAATCTTTCAGTAAAATTGTATTTCGTGAGATTATTTCGGAGATTGGAATTTCGGCATCACGACTGTCTCAGGAAATTGTCCTATTTTTTGAATCCCATTTTTTATCTCTTTTAAATCTTATTTTTTATCCTACTTTAAATCTGATTTTAAATCTCGATTTTGAATTCTATTTTTTAAATCTCAGTACACTTTTCCTCGGGACAATGCATGTTCGCCGATGAACGAATGAAGTTCCTTTCAACGAATTAAAAAGTATCTCAAATAATACAAACGTAAAATAACTAACTCAATTGAGAAATCAATCTGATGAAAAACTGGGCGCGCGCGCGCGCGCACGCGCGCTCATTCGAGCCGGAACTTGTACGAGGTACGACTTGGGTCCGCTCGTGACGATTGATCCAATCGTCATCCGCGGACGATCGACAGGCGAAATTAATAAATTCGGTCTCAGGTTATTCCAGCTGCCGATCCCGGAACCCGAGCGATACAGGACCTTGCGGCGCCAGGATAAATTCAAACAGCAGATCGAGTTTCTCCTCGACGACGACCTCGAATTCCCGGACGATCTAAGTGAAAATCGATTAATGACACAGACGCGAATAATAATCAATGATTGATGACGCAAGGCGAATAATAAGCAGCGATTCCTTGGAACTTCCTTAGAAATCACTCAAAGTTTTACCAGTGCACACCGATGTCACCAATTTTCTCCCTTCTGTGTATCGTCGCGTTTCTCTTTTTCTTTTTCGTTTCTTTTTTCTTTTTATTATTATTATTCCGCTATATTTGGTGTACGCATACCTTCGCTAGGATCAATTGCAGCGCGAGATCCACAAATCGTTTTCCTGGGCATATCCTTCTACCGACGCCGAAAGGCGCCACCAGTAGGGGTGACATGGGCATCATCGGTCGTAGCCATCTCTCCGGCTGGCACTTGGACGCGTTTTTGAAATTCTCTTCTTTCATGCTCGCAATCCATGTGTGCAATAATACTACTGTCTGAAATCGCAAGAACGAATTGCACGAGTCTATATTTCTGCAATGCAGGAAGAGTTCTGCAATGCGCGGATTTAGACGCGACTTCAAACTTACTCCGGGCTCGAGACGATATTCCTCCAATTCGATAGGCTCGTCCAATATGCGCGCTATGCACGGTGCCGTAGGCATCATTCTGAAACATGTGTCAATCGCATCTAAATACATAACGTAACGCATTCACGGAGACGAAAAGAGAATGAATTGTCCGATGTTGCATATTTTGCAAATTCTTATTATCGATTAATACGAACATTCGTTGCCTCTATAAAAGAGGAGTCTCCAGAACCGTTTACGTATATTCGATACGTAAAGTCGTCTGCATGACCGTAAATTTACGCAGGAAAACGCGTGTGTGTGAACCGACACATGGACAATCGGACGTACCTGTAAGATTCCATGATGCAAGCGCGCAAATACTTTGCCTTTCGTAAATCTTCCATTCTGATATCGCAGCCAGGAGGCGCCAAAGACCGTACCTCCTCATACAGGATCGCTTGTACCTCGGGATTCCTGCCGATCATGTCGAAAAGGAACACCAGCGTGTTGCCTAGCTGCAAAGGCGTAACGTGTGTGTGTGTGTGTGTGTATTGTAAACCTGTGCCCGTGATAATCGCGCAGGTGACGAGCGATGGAGAATTTAATTCGAAATAAATAAAATCCGAAATCACCATGTTTAACTATTATTTACCAATTAATTTGAATTTTATCTCATTTAATTGATTCCGAAACTAAATATCGTTCGTAGCCGTATCGAGCTTTCGAGTCGCCTCCTTTGCACAATGTGACATATTAGAGGCTCGCTAGAGAGCTCGTCAGACCTTCCGCTATATTCCTCTTAATTTTATTACAAAAATCTTAAAAAAATATTAAAAGATTCGGCAACAATTTCAAGTGATTGTTTAATTGCATATCTGTCGAATCTTTCGAAAACCCGTAAATATTAGAAATGCAATATGGTGTCCTCACTGTATGTATTCCTGCTGCTATAAAGTCTATTATAGCAGCTTTCTTGTCCCTCATGTCGAGGTCCTTGTGCCGCAGAATGGACAGGAACACCGCCTCGATAGAATCGTCGTGGGCATCGTCCACTTTCTCCTGCATGGTCGTCTCGATGAACTCCGAGATGACGCTAAGCAGGAAGAAAGGAACGATGAGGTGGTGGATTCTTTTTCAGCAAGAATGTCGAGGGAGATCATCAATCGTCATGAGCACTTCCGACTTTCTATATTATTAAATATATCTCTGTACGTCCGGAATTATGCAAAGCCGCCACACTCTGCTTTACGAACGAAATTTCATTCGGCCAAAAAAATTTTAAATGTACGTCAAGTTGAGAATCGGGCGGGTTATCTCGGTTAAAGTGTCAATATATATATATGACGCCTGATATCTAAATTAAATCACAAATCTGTCAAAGGGGGGAGAGAGAGAGAGAGAGAGAGAGAGAGAGAGAAAGAGAGTACCTACTCGAAATCAAATAGAAAGCAAAGTTTTTTCTAAAGTTATCAAGTCCATTATTATTCGATAAATTTATAGGTCGTTAGTCCTTCGACATTTTTACTTAAAACACACTGTTTCCGAATCAATCGAGAAGCTCGTAGACGAAAGACCATCCAGGACATCCTATATTCCAGCATTCGCAGAATTGAGTGTACGAGATGTCAATGGACCGCATCGTAACGTCAGACGTACTTGTATATAGTGTCCTCGCTCTCTATCAACTGCCTGTAACAAGATGTCGGCAACAGCTTCCAAAAAGGCAGACCGTAAAAGGCATCGCGCATGGCCGTGAAATGGACCCTGAGCGCCTCCGCTAATTTAGTCGTGAGCATGCAGCTAGAATCCGGTTTAAGGAAGCCCAAATGGCGCCCCAGGATCAAGGTACATGTGCCTGCGAGTGAAGCGGGAAATATCGCGTTATCAGTAGTCGATTATCGTGACCTCTGACGCGCACTCGAAGTATACTCTAACTCTTTAATGAAATGACACATTTTAATCGTTTTAAGCAAAATAAAATGGATTTCAAGCGTCGTCTCATAACTATTGATGAAACTTGAATCCACCACTATACACCAGAGCGAAAAGAACCTTCCGGAATCATACTTTAATGATGGTATTGAATTATTGGAAAGACGTTGGAATAAATATATTGAAGTTTCAGAAGATTATATATATATATATGTGTGTGTGTGTGTATATATATATATATATATATTGATTAATATTTATTAGAATCTATTAATATTTATTCCAGTAAAGTTATCTATATCTACCAATATCTAAAATAATAATTAAAACGGCACGCTTCGTCACGAAGATATGCATCCTGGTGCCTAGGATTAATAATCAATTAAAGCTCTCGGGGCGGAAAATCGCCCGCGAATGAAGCGAATCGCCCAATAATACACAATTCGCGGTACGCGAGAAAGCATACCGACGACTTACTCTCGAGTCCCATTCTGTAGGCTATTTCCTCAAAGCCTTTCACGGTGGTGCCTGTTCTTCCTTTGCGAATTAAATGGATGAAATCATCGGTGACAACATTGAGCGCAGGAAAGAAACTGAACACAGTATTGGCACCTGTGAGTTCAGGCGTTAAGGCTGCTCGAAGCTTATGCCATGTTGCACCTTGTCTGTCAGAGGTATCATCGCGATTAGTCGAGCGTAATTCTCATATCTCTAAGCCTTCCCCTAATCCTAATCCTTATCCCGAATGTCGCGATAAACCATGCGAGTCGCAGTCTCGCAGACTAATGAACGTGTCTCTCGCTTACAGCGGACGGATAACAAGTTGATAAAAATACAAAGACACGAAACTCTCTCAGAAGACAGAAAAACATCTCTCTTTCATTTTTTTATTGTTTATAAATTAAAGAAAAGATCAAAGACTTCATTTCTAAATCGTCTTACATTTGAATCTTATCGACTGAATCATTAAAAGCTAAGAAATCGTTTCGGATATACATTTTCTTGAATGAATGTAAATTGTAAATTTCGTGTTACAAAGGTATGAGAGAAAAATTTGCTGAATCTTTATTTTTTTATCCAAATTTAAGACGCGATCTTCAAGATTTTCCGCTTCTCTTCGTATTTTAAAGCTCAAACTTTGGACGGATATATAATCCTCAATCATGACTTCTGACGCAAACGCGATCGTGACCTTTGACACCAAGGGTGCGAGGGTGCGTTTCACCCTTCTCATGAGTTGATAAAAATATTTTAAGAAAAATAGTTTCTCATAACGCGAAATCTCGTGTCGGATGAAAGGTCAGATTACAAGTCTGTCACTTGATTTGTCACGCGCGTAAATAATATTCATTTAACTATACTATAACGAAAATTAGGCACTTCTAAACACTGACATAATGTGTGTGTATACATATGTGTGTCGGTGTTTTGTTTTTTCTAATCTTTTAATTTTTAATTTTTAAAGAATAATTTAATAATTAAAATAATAAAAATATAATGAAATATAATTAAATTAATTAAATAATAATTTTTTTTTATTTTCATTTTATCATAGCAAAAATTATATATATATACACATTTACATATATAAAGTGCCTTGATCATGTATCAAAAAAATAATTCGTTGTCACATAAGTAATCATCATCAGCGAATGTAAGTAGCACACGTGGTATTTCTCACGTAGTCAACGATACCGACAACACCTGATAACACACTCGGCCGATTCGAACGAAATCAGCACGATGATCAGGGTATCGACCCACTGGATTGTACCACGGATGTAACGCGCGGTGGATGTAACACGCCAGTCCGAGGAGTTACACGAGCCGAAATTACACGCGACCTTAAACTTGACCTCGATACACGGCGCGACGACGTAATCGCGCCGATCGAGAGAGCGCCCGCGCGACCGGCTAAGCAGCTTTACTCACTCATTGACCATGCCGTAGTTGGTGTAGCGATCGCGTCGGATGTTCCGGTAGTGGCATATGATTTCCTGCGGAGGACGAAGTGGGTACTTGGAGCTCCGTCGGAGAACGGTCTCGATGTCGTTACGAGAGAACAGGGAGATCACGAGGCGGTTCCATAATGCCTCCTCCTTGCACAACGCACCGTATCGCCGATTCAGATCTACTCTTGAATCAGTGATAACGAACCATGTTAAAATACCATATACCGACAGCCACCGTGACAGGTGACTCCCGCACGCGCCGCGACTCATCGGAGATCTTTCTTTGCGAATCAAAAGACTCGAGAAAAACTCGACGCTTCCACGCGCTCCCTAAATCTTTCAACAAAATTTCAAAGTGAAATTCTAGTCCAAACGGCGACGCTTTTGCTGTAGCTTCGAGTAAATTTTCATTCGTTCATTCATTTCTTTAAGTAGGATTTCACTCCGACAAATTTGGAGAGTTACATTTGCCTCTGCAATTTTAGATAACATTTACGATCGAATTGACCGGTGTATTTTTCTCAATTCTCTCCTTATTTGTTATCATCATCCCAAACAAAACAATTAACTTGAAACTGTCCTAAACTAATTCCTCTTACATATCTTCGTCTTTTTCGGGTGTTAATCGCCTCGTCTCGACGACGATGAACCTCGAGGAGGTAAGGTAAATGTCCCAGTAACCAGACATTTAAGCGTAAGTCGTCACAAAAAATATAATATTTTTTAATAATATCAAGAATAGTTTTTATATAAGTATTTACATTTATTCGAAAACTTAAGATTCCCTTAAGTAGAGAAAAATAATTAAAACCAACATATATGTCTATTATTAACGAAATATTTATATAAGTAATGAAGCGCATTAATATACCAGTAACCGGACAGTTACAATAGGTTATGGCCCATTGTCCGGATATAATTTGTCTCAGTATCTGACCGCAATTAGAAAATTAGTACGCGCTAACGGGAAATAATATAAATATAGATGCTATCTCTTAATGAATTTATTAACCATTATTGTTAACTATCTCGTCAGTATTGACCATTGTTTTGCCGAACTATAGGTGCATACTTGTTCAATTAATTTTTATTTTAGTACAAAAGTATCAAATTGGGTATATCTTTTTCCAACTAATCGTCAAATATTGGAGTTTTTTTACAATAATTATTACTTTCATTCATTGCTGTTAAAATAAATAGCAAATATTTTTTTTCAAAGTGGTCAGATACTGGGACGTTTACCTTAACCTCACGGATTTATGCAAAAATTGAAGAGCGTGATCGGAGCAAATAGCTCCGCTCATCGTGTATTTTTAATCGAGGTGACATAAGCGGAGCGCTCCTTTCGGCAACTGCGGTAGCGGCTTTCTTTTTCCTCCTTCCGCTCTCTCTCTCTCTCTCTCTCTCTCTCTCTCTCTCTCTCTCTAGGCCTCTCTCTCTCTCTCTCTCTCTCTCTCTCGGCCTCTCGCCGAGATTTCGGCAACTCACCGCCGATAAGATACCTACGGCATCTTTGACCTTGATCCTCTAAAGTCCCCGTATTCCGTACGCGCGATTCAACGATGCGACTTCTTTCTCCCCTCTTCTTCCTCCTCTTGTTTGTTTCCCTTCTCCCCTTTTCGCGAGACATACATAATCGAAATTGTTAATACATCCGCGAGTCGAACGGAGGACACGGCCCGCTAATTAGCGCATAATGAACCACATTCACACGCGTCATCCCGGCCCCCTTTTTTCTCCCTCCTTTCTTTCCCCATCTGCCATTCCCTCGCTTTTTCTCCCTCACTCCCGTCCTTTCGTTCTGCGCGACGCAACCTTGAGATATCATTAGCACTAGTCGCGCCGAGGAGGCGCACAAAGAAAGCCTAACCAGCATCTAACAATAAGGAACGCGATCGATAAGGGTGCGAAAGCCAAAGTCCTTACCTTTGTACGCCTCGTGAATCTTGTTCATGCAATAATTGCCGCAACGGGAGTATATCCAATTGGTGCCCAGGATCGGCAGGGCGTACGGGCCAGGTACCTCGCGCGCCGTCTTAAACTTCCTGCTCTTGTCGCGTGCATCTGTGGACAGATCAGAGCGAGTTGCCGAAAAAAAGGCCTTCCAGGTGGATACGACGGAGACGACATCGTCACCATGCGGTTCTCCATCGACGGATGTGTCCAGGTGCAAAGGCTTCGTCGCGCCGCTTCTTCAGCTTTCGAATACTTTGAACGGGCAAAAAGGCGAGAAGCCGAACTCTTTTCACAAGCAGAGAGAGAGAGAGAGAGAGAGAGAGAGAGAGAGAGAGAGAGAGAGAGAGAGAGAGAGAGAGAGAGAGAGAGAGAGAGAGAGTTCAAGGCGACCGCGACTACTTTGATTAATGGACGTTACGAAATCGCGGTAATCTCGTTGGCGACCGAGCCCGACGAAGCTTTTGCGATGGTCGAATGTTATCCTCCTTCGCGTGAGAAACGAGAGAAAGAAGGCGCATTATCAAGAATAATTCAATTATCACGGTGACGACGGAGTGGCGAGCAAGCGATCTCGGGTCGTGGCCGGGTGAAAAATAAAGTAGAAAATCACGAGTTTCGAGACACGACAGCGCAGAGGAAATGTTCAATGAGTCTCGGATAACGCGGAGGACGAAACGAGACAGAGAAGAATAGACGCGTAAGGAAGGAGTCGTCGAATCTCTTACCGTAACTGGCATTGTTGTTCCTGTTCCAAAACCACCAGGGCGGCCGGCAACCAGTGGCCAACACCAAAATCGTGAGCAGTATCGTCGCGATTGTCTCGAACCACGCTCCGGACAGCATCTTCCAACTGAAATCCTGCGCCAAGAAATGAAATGATCGGTAAAGATCGGTGTGCGCACGATCTCCTTCCCTCTCTCTCTCTCTCTCTCTCTCTCTCTTGCGCACGATCGCGATCGCGATCGTCGTATTTGCCGCCGCTGCCGCAGCCGATCCCGTCACGATCCCGCGTGGTGCGAAGAATAATTCTCTCTTATCGTGATCGCGCAAAAGCCGCCGGCTCCGCGATTATCTCGTTACCGCGCGCGAAACACTTGTCTCCTCGCGCGCGAGCACGTCGCCGTAGATATAGATACATTACTAGCGGGGCGTGAGTAAAATGCCGAGAGCGTGAAGCCCGCGAGAACGAGCGAGTTTTGAGTCATTATTTGGACACACTCGTCGCCGGCTGGAAGAGGAGAAGAAAGAAAGTCCTCGTCCCCCGAGCGAGTTTCCACGCTGCCGTCTACTCGGCTCCGGCGTGGGCGGCTCCATTGTAATCAACACGTTGACGGTCGCGGTGGTGGTGATCGGTGTCGGCGCTGTAATACCGGCTGCGTCTCAATTAATTTAATGACGTACACGAGAAGTCGGAAGTACGTTTACGTTTACGTATACTACTTTTGTACTTTTGAGATTCAATTTTGCCAGTTTTTTTTTAGGCTTCAAGCCGAGTTTCACGCGTTTCAAAATTTTAAAATTAGAAATTATCGGCTAGTTTAATTTGCATATGTACAACGTGCAACCAATTGCAAATATACAACAAATCGGATACAGACTATATCGAGAATCAATGAAAAACGAGAATGTATATCATACAATATATTCATCGAATATATGCGATACATAGCTATATAAATTGCATTGATTTGTCGCATCTTTGGTGATTCAAACTTTGGTTCGAACGTTGACTTTTCGCTCCTCGCAGCTCGCATTTCCCGGCGAAATTCATTTCTCCCCCGGTCGATCGACTCGAATTCCCGACCCTCGCGGACAAGTACACGTGCTCATTCGACGAGTTACACGACCGGTCGCGCTGGTGGACTTTGTACGCCGCTCGGACTCCAGACGGACGAGCATCTCGTTGCTTTTCGTTGCGGAGCAGCCGCTGTTTCAGGAAATCGCGCAATCGGCACGCTCATCAGGGATTTTCACGAGCGTGGGAAGCTGAGAGTAAAGTTACCGCGTTCTCTCGCGGCCGGTTCTCGTCCAAGGGTTGAGATCGACCGAAAGGAGTACCGTGAGGATCTACTCGTACGGTACTCGCGCAGCGATAAGGAGCACCCACTATAAGCTCTCCGTCTCTTTCTCTCTGTATATGTATGTGCGTGTATGTGTATGCGGTATAGCCGATAGGACGACAGATGTTCGCTCCGTAACTCCGCGGATCTCGCGCGCGTCCGACACTCGCTCGAATCAATCGCGATCGACGAGGGTTTCTCGCGCCGGTCTCGCGCGAGCGCTCGACGGGGATTCACCACTCGCGCTTCGATTTAACACTGGGACGCGGTGCGAGACGGTGGTGCGAGAGGAGGAGCTGCGAAGCTCGCGCATTTTCGCGACCGCCGACTCTCACCGATGGCGCGACAAGGAAGAAAGAACGAAAGACGAAGGAAGCTGAGAGCGCGAGAGGAGAGAAGGCGAGTGCAGAGAGCGGACGATGGAATAAAGGGCGAGAAAGCGGACAACAGCGGCAGCGACAGCCGCTCGCGGATCTTCTCGCGACTGACTGAGTGCCCCAGTGTTATTTGCAGACCGCGATTCCTCTATTTGCAATTCACCGATAACGCGTGTTGCCCCGATGATCCCACTCTTTCTTCACTTCTCTTCTTTCTCCCTCTCCCCATCTCTCTCTCTCTCTCTCTCTCTCTCTCTCTCTCTCTCTCTCTCCCTCTCTCCCTCTCTCTCTCCCTCTCGCTCCTTCGTTCCCTGCCTCGCTCGCTCTGAGTCACCGGCTCGGTATCGAAGAGCTGTTACACGGATCGGGGAGAAAATAGTTAAACGATATCGCGATAACCGTGTAATTGCGGGCCGCGCGGTGCCCGCAAGTGAGTAACAAGGGGTGAAGGATCGAGCGATCTGTACGTGTGCACACACATATACATAACGCACACACTCTCAGCGGCTGTCGGACACTTGCGACTCGACACGCGATGATTCGAGACGCAGCGCGTAAGTAAAGTTCGATATGCATCGTGAAAACAATAGCCAGGGTATCACTCCCCGCGGCTCGTGCTCGGAGGCCGAAGGAAAATGCTCGCGGAGGACCGCGGAGCCGCGAGAGCCTCCCTCGTGGAGCGCGGGCTCGACTTTTCGCTCGACTTTCCACGTCCGAATCGAAGGAGACGGACGCGCTCGCAGCGCGGAGAAATGGAGAAATCCATCGGGGAGGAAAACGCCGCGCGGAGGCGAGAGATTGGCAAGCCGCGCCGCAGGCGCATTCCATGCCGCTTCTTGTAGCGGTTTCCGCGTACACGGGATGCGTTCCGGACCTCTTGACCGGCTACATTGTTCGTTCATTAATGACGTTAATTAAGCACACCGCTATGTAAGTACCGTCTCGCGCCGGCACGGTATCCCGTGCTTACCTGCCGGCGCGATGGGAGTCTTCAGGTACGGTGTCTCCCTGAGAAGATTGTGTTGTACGCTGTATGTGCGTGTGTGTGTGTGTATGCGCGCGCGCGAGGAACATCATAGCGAGGAAAAATTAGCTATGAACGTTTTTGCGAGAACATAAAAGCGCATCCCTTTGTGTGTGTCGTGATTTTCTGTTTCTCTTCTTTTAGTAGATGATTATTCCAGAAGAAAAGCCGAGTACCTCGCTGATCTTTATGGTGGATGTATGCGTATGAAAATTCGCGCAAGCAAACCCGCAATGAATCTGCGAGGTGATCAGAGATGCGAATTCAGTGTTACATGAAATGAACCTACCACGGTCGGTTCGCTTGCTTCCTTTTGGTTCACCTATTTTTTGCAGGGTTCCGCGCACCGCGCGAACCTGTTTAATCTACGTTTTACTACGAATGGACTATTCTTAGCTCGCGCGAACCAGCAACGACGATTTTCCGATTGGAATCGAGCTTTGGATCGAATCTCTAATAAAGGTCTAATAAAGAGCGGAGCGAAACGTATCGCTTTACATATCTCGCGGAACCAGTCCTACGCGAAAAGAAAGAAGATAAAGTGCCCGATGCGGTCGTCGAAAGCTCCCTTTTCTCTCTTTACCTTTCTATATCTCTCCCTACGCGATCTCTATTTTCCACTGAGAGACGCACGGGGTCTCGCTGAAAGTAAACCGTGCGTACGAAAAAAGAGATCGGAGACATTCGAGGAGCAGAAAGGAGCAGAGTGACTCCGATTCATCGGCGAGGAATCTGTTGTAAAAGAGAAAAAAAGAGGGCAAGATAAAATAAAATAAAACAAAATAACGTCACGATAGGTAGAGATAGAATAGCCGTTTATATAATCCAACGTTTCGTACAAATAAAACGTTCCGCTTCGTCTTGACGAAATATATTACGCGGCCTCCGTGATAATTAGATAATGATCGCTGAATTCATTAATATGTAAAGTAAACACTTGGTGCGCGATAGATCCGAGTGGAATCAGATGAGATATTTTCGTCCCGCTAAATTGGACAAATTTCACGCTGTAATGCACGCACGCACGCACGCACGCACCGGAGACACTCGTATTCGCGGCGTAAATAACAAGCGCGCGGCTAATTGTGTACGAAGACTTTGGAATGGCAGAATGTCGCCGCCGCCGCCGCCTGCCGAAGTAAATAAAGTATTATTGCTCCGGAGCAATTGAGAAAGCGCAAGAGAGAGTGAAAGAAGAATGGAGAACGAGAAAAATAATCGGCCGGGTGCGACGCTCGATTACTCGTGACGACGGCGACGACGACGACGACGACGACGGTGACGATGATGATGATGACGGCGACGACGACAACTACGTAGCCAGATTGTTATCTTTTTCTCCGTCGAGCGCGAGCTCGAGCGAGCGCGAGAGTGCGTCGTGCAACTTAGTAGTTTATAATTTTATGTCAAATTCCTGGCGCTACGTAAGACCACTTTCAGTCAGCTGTGACGCGTAATGACAGCCTCGACAGGCTCATTCGAGCTCGGTTTTCTCTCGACGAAAGTGCCGGCGCAGCGGCGAGAGTGCTTTTCGAGTGTGCACGATCGAAAATGTTAAATACATGGGAACCATATTTTTCCATAACGCTCGAGCTAAAAATGAACATCGCGGAATGTCTCGTTCTAGCCGTGAGACTCGATTGTGTACAAGCTGCGAGACGTCACGACGCACAACAGCTTATCCTGCAATATTTACTCGTCTTGTCGAATCGCACGCGTGCTTCGACGCTGTCGGCAGACATTGCAGGCCTGCCTCTCTTTGCGTTTTGACGCGAGACAGTTTGTAAACTGGCGACTTCCGCGCGAAGTAAACAAATCGCTCGAAGCAAATTCGATTCTTTCTTCGAAGCATCCTGTATATCCTTTCCGTGTAAGACGTTGGTTTCATCGGCGGACGAGGCAAGAGCTGCAAAGCTGTTGCCTCACGTCTTTTGGGGTTGCGACATTTAAGTATTTACACATCTTATATATAAATACAGCAATTATAAAAATATCATAATTCAAACGTATTTGCTAAGCACGGTATCGCGCACGGGACGTCTTGTTCTTGCAATCTCTAGCAAACATTGTTTTTATCGTATCATATCGGTAAAATGCATTAATTTCAATTGCAAAATATCAAAGGTGAAACGACCAATCCCCGCGTCGCGTTCTGATCTTACGACGGCCGACTCTGAACTCTTTGCGCCTCCCGCAGCTCCCGCCGACAGGAGAGACGCGCGAGAAAGTTGCTAATTAGTAATTTATTAATTAGCTTAATAATTAATAATATATCCGTTAATTAGCCAGCCGCGATGCGCACGGCGATTTCTGCCATGGTCGTCAATGAAAGATACGACACCCTGAGAGGGAGACCCTGAATAATGTTGTGCGCGCGCCTCGTTAATAATGCAGCCACGACCGTAATCTATTCTCGGGCGCCACTCAATCATAAATTTTATTGCTTAGCGTTACTCGGCATTTTTTCCCGCGGCGCGTGTGTTGTATGCGCGGTGCGTCGGTATCTCTCCGCGAGCGCGGCTATCAGCCACGCATGAAACGAATTAATTACGTTCTTAGCTCGCCCGTAACACATTGTATTTATGCATACGCGGATCATTAGGCGCGATTTTCTCTATGTAACGGTTCGGTTCTGAGAGACACGACGTACCGTGCATCCGCGGTTGAAACACGCCGTGTTCCGCACCTGACTGAGATCGGCGGGAATTTCCCGCGAGAGGAAAACCGCCTCGCGATCGTCATCTGCCCGACGCAGGTAGACCAGCTCGAGATGAAAATTTAGTTCCCTCTCTCTCTCTCTCTCTCTCTCTCTCTCTCTCTCTCTCTCTCTCTCTCTCTCTCTCTCTCTCTCTTTCTCTCTCTCTCTCTCTTTCTCTCTCTCTTTCTTACGGTCGTTGCTACCGCTCAGTATCGCGCGGATATGAGGAAGCGGAGAGACAAAATGTTCACCGAAAATGAAATTGACAAAGCGAGTGCGAATATCGACGCTCCTTCCCGGCCCGCCGCGGAAGAAACGCAAATCCAGGCGCTGGCGACTGTATTGTCTCGCCGGTCGACCTATTTGTCGGACAGACGACTATTTGCGTTCGATAAGCCACCGATAAGTACTTTCCCTACTTATATTCGCACCGCGATCCGGGAGCCAGCGTAATAACACGATCGATCGAGGAAGTCGCGCGGAACGTCGCCGACGCGCGCAGCAGCGTTTGTTCTCGGAGAGATTCGCGACTTCATCAAATTGTGCCGGCCAAGATATCAGATATTTCTCGCAGTCACGTAACGAGAGACACGAGTTCGAGAGAAAGGCACTTTTTTGTAATTAATTTACGTCATTAATCGAAATCGTATCGATCGTGATTAGCAGGGTGGAAATGCTCTGAGCACTTTTTCGCCTCGTTCATTTTCCGCGCGAATGCTTCAAATTAACGTTTCCAGACGGACGGTTTTGAGACCGAATTCATCGCGCGGAAGATCAGGTAACGGTCTCGGTGGGAAAAAGATGCGGTAACTTTAGCGGAAGATGAAAACATGATGTTTATATCCGTCTTACCTTCTCTGTCGACCCCGCATCACACACAAACGCTTCCTCGACGATAATTTAATCTAATCAAAAAGTCAGCCTGTGAAAACGAATTCCTTCGCGACTTTAAGACAACTTGCGTGAATTTCCATTTGATTCGCGCGAACTCAAATTGACTTCACAACGCGAGTGAGTTGGAGTTAATTTTAATTTGATTTCGGTGAATCTTTATGAAGCGCGTCTACGGCCCCTTTCCGCGCGCGCAATTCAGCCTCGCGCTCTTGTCCTTCGGATTCCTCAACCCTCCGTGATTCTCCGCGATCGTTTTCGAACAAAGCGACTCGCCGGCATCGCTATGGCAGCCACCTCCAAATACGGTTCTTACGATTTCGAGTTTCCGGAACGCGGGGTAAACACGCGGCACCGCGGATATATAAAATGTGCGCGATGCGCCACGGATCGTGCGAATTACACGGATCTCGCCATTTCCGTATAACGTTGTTCCTCCGTCACCTGCTTTTTCTTCTTCTCCTTCATTCTCCTCACCATCGTT